CAGTCCATGATATAGAGAGTTGCACTAGTTGAGTCTTGGCATGATTAGCAAGTGTATAATCTTTTAAAAGTCTAATTGGTAAATAGGGCTTGACTTTACTAAGAACACACAAATGAAAGAACACACTCTGGACCACAGAACTTATCTGTTTATCAAGCTTAAAATGGCCATTAATGAAAAAACCCAGATTTCTTGCCTGAGACACGCAAAATGATTCTAAAGGGCCAAAAACACCCCGTGCAACTGCCCAGGGTCCCCAAAAATGACTATTTCAGTTTTTTTGTCATTTAAAGTGAGAAGGTTCAATTGTAGCCAGTTTTTAACGTATTTTAGACAATTCCGTAATTTATCAAATGACGGCCTTCGAGAATGTAGTGGGACGTCATCCGCAAAGAAGTGGTATGAGATGCCATGCTTATGAAAGTTGGCATCAAGGGGCAACATATACAGTGAGAACAAAAGTGGGCCCAAAACTGAACCTTGAGGTACACCACAACTAAGTTTCGCTGGAGACGAACAACATTGCCCCATATTTACAGAAAAAGTCCTGTCTGACAGGTAGGACTTAAACCATTGCAACAGTGAGCCCTGGATGCCAACGTCATGCTCTAGGCGGGATAAAAGGATCTGATGGTCCACCGTATCAAAGGCCGCCGTTAGGTCTAAAGGGATCAATTCAGCTGATTGACCGGAATCGATAGTTAGAAATCTATCGTTAAATATTCTTAAAAGAGCAGTCTCTGTACTGTGGTATTGCTTAAAACTGATTGAAACTTCTCTAAAATACCATAGTGGTCGAGATAGTCCTGCAGCTGCCTGTAGACAATTTTCTCCATGACCTTAGAAAGGAAAGGGAGTTTGTGGATAGGCCTGTAGTTGGAGAGCACCATGGGATCGAGGTTAGGTTTCTTTGAGAGCGGCTGAATAACAGCATGTTTAAAGGCAGCAGCGACATGACCAGCAGATAAGCATTTATTTATAATAAGTAAAATAATGGGCCCAATTGTAGAAAAAACATTTTTTTAAAGTGATGGGTGGATACTATCCAGTGGGCTGCAAGAAGGTCTTGACTGGTGAACCTCCTTAGAGAGGTCAGAGAAAGACAACAGCTCAAACTGGTCAAAAGCAGTTGAGCATGGTTGTGAAGAAGCTGTGTCCACCAGAGAGGAAGGGGAAGATGATCTAAGAGGGGTGATCTTATCTGTGAATAAATTCTTTAACTTTTCACAGAACAGATCAGAAAATTTTAGGCAAGAAGACACACCAGGGGAGATAAGGCAACTCAAAACACTAAATAAGACCTGAAGCCTATGGGAGTTATTTACAATAAGCATGTCTTTGCATGCTTTAGTGCACACTGATACGAGCATCCCTAAGGACATCCAGCGAGACATGAAGGCCGTCCTTTTTCCATTGTCTCTCAGCTCTTCTGCAAGCGCGTCTGAGAGAACGAATAAAGTAATTCATCCATGGTTCTGGAGCACGCGCACAGCGCCGAGTTCCCAAAGGGGCAATACAGTCTAAAATGTCAGTGCATGTAGAATTAGAATGCCTTCTCTGGGTCAGGGATGAGGTCCTGCCCCAGTGGAGGAGTTTAAGTACCTCGGGGTCTTGTTCACGAGTGAGGGAAAACTGGAGCGTGAGATCGATAGGTGGATTGGTGCTGCAACTGCAGTGATGCGGGCGTTGTACCGGTCTGTCGTGGTGAAGAGAGAGCTGAGTCAGAAGGCGAAGCTCTCGATTTACCGGTGGATCTACGTTCCTACCCTCACCTATGGTCATGAGCTTTGGGTAGTGACAGAAAGAACGAGATCGCAGATACAAGCGGCCGAAATGAGTCTTCTCCGAAGAGTGGCTGGGCTCTCCCTTAGAGATAGGGTGAGAAGCTCGGTCATTCGGGGGGGGGGGGGGGGGGGGGGGGGGGGGGGTCTCAGAGTAGACCTGCTGCTCCGCCACATCGAGAGGACCTAGTTGAGGTGGCTCGAGCATCTGGTCAGGATGCCTCCCTGGTGAGGTTTTCCGGGCACGTCCAACTGGGAGGAGACCTAAAGGTAGACCCAGGACACGGTGGAGCGACTATGTCTCTCACCTGACCAGGGGACGCCTTGAGATTCCCCCGGAGGAGCTGGCCCAAGTGGCTGGGGAGAGGGAATTCTGGGCCTCTCGCCTTAGGCTACTGTCCCCGCGACCTGACTCGGATAAGCGGATGAAAATGGATGGATGGATGATTCTGTCTTGCTGCAACAAATCTTCATTCCTCTCTTTTCCAGTCCCCGCCTCCACCTCTCTGGCTTTTCTTCTACCTGAACCCTGCTTTCACTGTAAATCACTGTCATCTGCAAACATCATATTCCATGTAGACTCCTGTCTAACATCGTTGGTCAGCGTGTCCAATGCCAAAGCAAACAAGAAGGGCCTTAGAGCTGACCCCCAATGCAGTCCCACCTTTACCTTTAACACACTGCTGTCTCACACTTCTCATACATGTTCTGCACCACTCTGAAATACTTCTCTGCTCTCCAGATCTCCTCATGCACCACAGCTCCTCTCTCAGCCCTGTCATATGCTTCGGACCTTCTCTGTTCTTCTTCTTCAGCATCCTTAAAGCAAAAGTAGCCGCTCTAGTACACATTACTGGCTTCAAACCATACTGCTGCTTATTAATGCTTACTTCTCTCTTCTAAGGTCTGGAATATACTTTCCTTTTAACCTCACGTTGGCGCTAACAACAGGCTGTCTTTGTTCATATACTTGCTGCTACACTGCACTGCAATGCATGTAGTACTGGAGGAATCTACTAAGGGGTACTATTGAGTACTCAGACTGGATTGAGGGCCATGTTTGTAGGGTACAACCAAAACAAACACGGCGTCAATAGAAGAGATCCGTAACTGGTTAATTTCGAGATCTCGGCAGAAAAAAGACATCAGCGATATTGTATATAGTATGAAAAACCTCTAAAGCATGGCGAGTGTCTCTTACTTGTTTTGTCAACTCCACCTGTTTATGTTTATGTATTTAGCAGACGCTTTTGTCCAAAGCGACTTACAAGTGATAATGGGCATGTTACCTTTGAGGCTAACAACAACAATAACAACAAGAACAACAAACAATTTCCAGTCAGTCGTAGGTGGCAGTGAGGCAGCATGATGAGTCATGGAGAGGAGGGAACAAGGAGTGGACAGTAGAGAGGGGGGCGGGTGCTAGAAGATGCTCTCTGAAGAGCAGGGTCTTCATGAGTTTCTTGAAAATCAAAAAGGAAGCCGCTGTTCTGGTAGTGCTTGGAAGGTCATTCCACATTTGTGGAACGATGCATGAGAAGAGTCTGGATTGTCCTGAGCGTGGTGTAGGCACTGCTAGCCGACCATCCTGTGATGACCGGAGCGGCCGGGCCGAGACGTAAGCCTTTGCAAGAGGATTCAGGTAGATGGGAGCCGTACCGTCTCGGACTTTGTATGCTAGTGTTAGCAATTTGAATTTGATGCGTGCTGCTAGCGGTAGCCAGTGGAGCTCAATGAACAGAGGGGTGACGTGTGCTCTTTCTGGCTGATTGAAGACCAGACGCACCGCTGCGTTCTGGACCATTTGAAGAGGTCTCACAGTACAGGATGGAAGACCAGTTAGAAGGACGTTGCAGTAATCGAGGCGGGAGATGACAGTAGATTGCACCAGGAGCTGGGTGGCATGTTGTGTTAGGTATGGTCTGATCTTTCGTATGTTATACAGCGCAAAGCGGCATGAACGAGTGACAGAGGCAACATGATCTTTAAAGGTCAGGTGTTCATCAATCACAACACCCAGATTTCGAACTGCCTTTGAAGGAGCCAGAGATAGGAAGTCATTTCGGATTGAGATATTGTGCTGTATGGATGGTTTTGCTGGGATGACAAGTAGTTCAGTTTTAGAGAGGTTGAGTTGGAGATGGTGGGACTTCATCCATTTTGATATGTCAGAGAGACAGTTTGATATTCGTGCAGAGACAGTGTGGTCTGGTTACTTGTATATTACAGCGTGTGAACGTGTCACTTTAATTTCAGGGTCACACACATGCAAGGCTTAAAATTAACGCGAGTTACCCAAGACAGTCGTTTGAAAAATGCGTACACGTTGTTTGAAAGCAAGTATATTCAAGGCCTATGACTAGCCTCCACCACTCTTCCCCAGAGCTTCGTTGTATGACTGAATATGACTTATTCCTCCATAGTTCTCACAATTCTATAAGCTATCTCAGTTACCATGTTTTCAACCAATAGCAGCAGAAAATGTGATTTTAGATTTTTCTGGTGAACTGTGCTATTTTTAGAACAGGCCTGAGGGCACCTTAGAAGGTTTCTGGGCACCAGGTTGGTGACGCCTGTACAAGACAATGTAGACAATGACAAGGAGTGTTCAATGATAATAAGTTTCCAGATAACAGAACAATACTTACTTCTAAAGGTTCATCATTTGTCCTGCTTTTCTTCTGTTTAATTTTTGTCTTCTTGGCACTCTATGCATCAGTGTTTATGTGGTGTTTCATCAAGGGTGTTTCCTTTTTCTGCCCTGGGTATTTCTTTCCTTGCATCTTCTGACAGGCTTTTCCGTCTCTGGTGAACCTCTGTTTTTTTAATAAAATAAAATAAAATAAAATACTAATTATTATTATTATTACTAATTACTAATACAAATATAATAATTGTTGATTGATTGATTGATTGATTGATTGATTGATTGATTGATTGATTGATTCACCAAAAAGATGCAACACACCTTCAAAATGAAACTTTTTTTTGCAATTACTACTACAATTATACAGTTTATACTTGAGGCTCGGAGGTGGAACAAACCCAATTGTTTAGGGAAATATTTTTAAGTAACAGATCATTTTTTGACATGGTTAATGACAACAGTTGGGTCAATAATCTATTCTTTCATAGAAGCCCTCTATGGCCTATCCCTCACCCCCATTCAGGGTTATTCAGACTGAAGGTTTAAAGAAAGTTCTTCTTTCTCTATTTCAGGGGAAAAGGGACCAAGAGGAGAAAAAGGAGAGCCTGGTATTGGTGAAAGAGGAGAGCGGGGTCCTACTGGTCCAATAGGTAACAAATGAATTCTGATTTATTGCAGTCTTTGGCATACCAGTCCAGTTAACAAATGAAATTCATCTTGTTGCGGCAGGTCCAGCCGGTCTTCCTGGATACGGTAAGGACGGAAGTCCAGGACAAGCTGGAGCTCAGGGAGAGCCAGGAAACCCTGGTCCTCATGGTCAACCAGGACCTCCAGGCCCTCCTGGCCAGTGTGATCCCACCCAGTGTGCCTACTATGCCAGCCTGGCACAAAGACCCCACAACAAAAATGTGAAGGGAACTTAAAAAGGAGCACACTCACAGAACTGGAAGTCCATTTGTATTTATGAACACTGTTAAGTCAGTTTGAAGTTTGATTTGAGACCTTTTTTTTCTCTTTTTCAAATTCACCTCAGTATGACGGGTGGAAGCAACAGGTGCTGCCGGTCAGATACTTTGTTATGTTGTGTGGTGCCAAATCTGGGATGGTGGGGGATTAAGGAAATTCTCAGATTGCAGGACACAGAGGGCAGCTACAGTTTGTTGTCGTCTGTTTTGTATAACTTTAATTTAAAATTTTTTTTTACCAGCGTGCCTGTTGCACGAAGTGAAGATAACCAGGATTTTGCAACCATGTTTACTTTTAAGAGTTTTCTGCCCACTCTCCATAACCACCGTCCCCCAGAGCCCGATTATTAAATACATTTATTACCAAGAATCTTCTAATCAGTCCGATAGTTGCACAGTCATGGAATTTTCTTTCTCTCATGATCAAGTTTCTTATCTCTCTCATCAATTTTTGATGGGGGAGTGGACAGAATGAAGAAGTGATTTTTTAATTGGTGAGTGTGGAACGTGATGAATGGCCACATTTACGCACGTTTTACCTTCATTGCCATAGTGGTGTTGTTTTTCTACTTTGCTGTGGATAGTCTTGACATGCTCCGAGAACTCTAACCTCTAAACAAACCATAAATCTGTTTAATTTATTATATATGGCACGTCTGATTGATTTAGACAGGAGGAAAAAATAGATTCAGATCAGCCTAGTGGTCAACGAATTGATTCATTGATGGTCCTTGTAAAGATTGAACTTTTAAAATTGAATCTTCTTGACTTGCTGTGATCCTTACATGTGCACATGACACAACAATTTCCCTCGAGATAAATAAAGTTCTTATCTTATCCACAATATTTCTTTTGAAGAACCAGTCAAGACAGGAAAAAATTGTTATAGCTAAATCAGTCATTTCAATTTCATTGATGTCAATCTTTCAAAGTCACCAGTACGCATGTACAGTAAACCAGGAGGAACATTTGGTGTAACTGCAGCCTGTGCTATTTTGTTTTCACAGTAATGCTTGATTCTTTAAACTCTGTTTGTCAAAACTTGTTAGCTTGCTGCTCCCTGCCAAGACCCACAAAGCTTGTGGATTTTCTAATTTGACCCCTCTAGAATCAAAAGTTAGCAAACAATGTTTGCCTTTGATGTCCTGACCTTTGTGATAACCATTTGAGAGACATGCCATATTAACTTTTAACAGGTTAAAAGTCATACGTTTGCATTCATTCATAAATATAATAAATACCCTAAAGGTGTGGAACACTGAAAAACTATTTTAAAATCTTATTTCTGATTAGAATCGGTCACTCAGACTTTTACATGCAGGCCGTCACATTGGTCTTTGTTAAGACTCCAAATTCAGCCGTGTTTAGCTCAGCTGTGATGTGGCTCAATTACAGTTCTTGAAAATAGTGTACCGGTGCCCCCACCCTACCCCAGAGTACGACTTACAGGACATTCATTCCTGCTAGAGACCACTGCAAATATATTGATTAAATGAGTATTCCACACCTTTAAGTTATAATCTGTGCCAGTCGAGAGATCTACAGAATGTCTCTGTGTCAAGGTTTCACAGTGTTGCTAACAATGCTTGTTAGCATGTGAAGCATGTGGCCATGACACTAGTTATGAACCTTTATTTCTACTGTCGACACGAGATTCAGCAACAGAAAGATTCAAAAGGTATTTTTTGTTGAATATAGTGACATGTTTTTATAAACCTAACTGGTTACATTAGTAAAAACCAACAGAAGTGGGTCTTTGCCCAGCTGAATATGGATCCAGTTTCAAAGGCTTAACAGTTTGGTTCAAAACCATTTCCGTATAATAAATGTAAAATAAAGTACTGCACATGTTATGGTTTTCTGATTAGAACTTGGTTGAGATAAAAAAAAAGAAGTAAACAGAATGGCATTTCAGACTTTTTCTGTTGTTTATCATTTAAAGTCATCTGAAATTGCCAGCTAATTCAGGCCAGTCATAGTGTTGTACCAGATCTCTCCACAAGAAGGGACTCATTAGGAATAAGTTGGTTCAAAATGTTTGAAAAAAATGAACCTGACATAAAATTCTATCGTGTTTCTGATGATGGCCAATGTTAAGTCAGTTTATACTATCACCATATTTTCAATACGTTTTGAATATTATGGTAAAACGGTATAACCAGCCACTGTCATTGATTCCCTCTGATCATTCTGCTGATAAACGTTAAGCAAAAATTATTATAGACCTAAAGAAGGCTTAAAATATTTTGTCTTAAAATACTTTGGTTTAATGTCGTTAACCAAATGTGATTGAGTAAGAAGGCCAGATGTTAAATTCAGTTACTCAAAAAAAAAAATACAATTTTATAGACAACATTTAAGAATATGGCACTTAAAAACATCTTGTTTGGTTCAATACATTTGGCACCAACTTTCACTGTTTAACATAGCATTCAGCTAGCATAGCTGCTTTGGCAATATCAACACAAATGAAATGTATTTTTTATTGTATTTACATTTGAATGCATTTCTAATTAATTTCACATTAATAACTCGACAAACTGTACTTTTATCTTTAAGTTCAACTCCACCAATGAGATCTGTGCTGGCTTCAGAGCCGCTCTTGGTTACATGCTAACATGCTGGTTAGCTAAAGTAAATGACGCTCTAGCAGCTTCGGGATAACAGAAAAAAGCTTGAAATGCAACAAAACCAAAATATTCAGAATCAAATGACTTGTTAGCTTTAACATCTTTTAGCTGTTTCTGTAGCAGCAGACCTCTTAACAAGCAGTAAATATTACTATTTAGTGATTTTTTGGGGGGTGTTCAATTTTAGTTACGATTTACGGATTTAATAGAAATCCGTTTTATGTTGCTGGAAATAAAGCTACGTCATCAGCATGACATATTCTAAGTTATATTGTTAAATTATTCATAATTTTAGCAAATACGTGTGTTCAAGTTATTTTGTCCTCATGCTATCCTGATAAATTGGTGCTATATAATAAACCCCTCAGCAAAATGTAAGTAGTTGAACTGTACTGTAAAATAAAGACAAACTATTAGACACAAGGCTTTTATTTGTTGAGAACTTCTTATACTTTTTATATTCTCACTAGCAATTTTCCTTTTAAACAAATTGTACATTATTCACTGTCAGCATGAATTGTTTTTGTTGGACTTTCACCATTTCAAAGTGTTCATTGTTCTTCTGGCATCCATCATGTTGGTGTCTGTAGGTTGACCATGAAAATAAAGCAATGATCTTTTGCTAGATCAAATTTCACACTCAGCCTTTCACCTCTTTAATCATTACATCTAATAGATATCCTTGTGATGGCTGCCACAATAAGTCGTTTACAGTCGCATCTTTAAAGGTCATATTTGATCAATTTGCCTAAATGTATTTGATGTGAGAAGAGTGATGCTGGCTTGTCTTTTAAATCTCAGCTACTGTCTAAAACTTGGTAAGAAAACAAAAATAAATAAATAATGAGCCAATTTTTTACCCAATTCTTCCCCAGCAGCAAACTGAGGATACACTGATTAATTAAAACAATTCAGTGGTCTCTAGTATAAATGAATACATTAACCCCAAAATTCCACTATCTCCGCTCCGCCCCCGCCCTCCGCAGCCGCTCGCTTCCAAACTCAAATTATACTGGTACCCGCTCTACAACGGCTCCGCTCCGGTGCGGAGACCTGAGGTGCGCAAACAGGCGTGCGCGGGATTTCGAGATCTTGCGATACAGTCCGAGCAATAAACGCGGAAGTTAGATCCAAACACCCGTTGTGTGGGAGAAGCATCGGCATGAACTGTTTAATCTGCCCATCAGTTGTGTTGAGAGATCAGCAGTGTTTGGATCAACAAAGTGTGTCTACTTTGATAGTGGAAACTGTATTTATGGCTTATTTTTGTGCATTTAAAGTTCAACCGCCATTGATAGTTGTTAAAAGTTGTTAAACCTGTGCATATGAAACAAAAAACGCCTTTTGTTTATCGATTTATTGTGAAATAACGGAAGTTGTGCTTGCTCCTTTTCCTGTTGGGCAGTTGTGATTTCTGTCCATTGACTGCGGAGGTGCTCCGGCGTCCGGCAAAAATAGGATCCTATTTTTGCCGGATGGCGGAACGACGGGCGGCGCACTGTGCCGCACGGCCACAGCAGTGGAACAGCTCTGATTGACTACAACGGGACCGATTTTGCTGCGCAGTTCGTGCCAGAGCGGAGCTGGGATAGTGGAATTTTGGGGTTAGTCGGAGGAGGAGGTAGAAAATTTGGAGTCATACTCATTAGAGATGTGGAACTCTGAAAAAACATTTTTAATGATTATTTCTGATTATAATCAGTCACTCTGAGTTTTTCATGCAGATTGAACATGAAAACAGTCTCCTCCACCTATTTCCTGCATTAGCTTCTGATAGAAAAAAGATGGTGAAACTGTAGGATTTGAAAATCCTGACAGATCTACGTCACACAGTCACTTGACATTCATGGATTCACCCATCTTGACTCGGTGACGAGGAAGGCTGTTGTTGTGTCAGCATCCAGGAAACAGCACAGAACATCATGAAGAAGCTCACCTTTAGCAACACAGCAGAACTCCTTCAGGCTATTTGTGGAAATAAAATGTCAACGTTGCAGGACAAACAGTCAGTGGTAGGGTTGTATTGCTGTTAGCCAATCAGAAAAGAGTTGTTCAACCACCAGGAAATAAGACTCCAAATCCTTCCGTGTAAGTTCTCTTCTGATGTGACATTCTGCTAGTTCCTGAAACAAGTGCATCTGAGCTGTGCAAAATCTGATACAGAACTGACTTGGAAAAATGGGATTAACTGCATTCTGACCTTCATTTTACATTTCAGAAGACCTTCACTTCACAATCACAAAGTCATCACTCACAACACCAGAGGCCTCGACTCTTATGTGATTCTTAAAGATTGTACCCACAGATTTCCTGTTATTATTAATATCATCGTTCACAGAAGCCGACTCTGGTTTAAGATTTATCAACTCGTTGAGCTTGTTGACCACGAAGCTCGCTCACTTCCCCATAGCTCCCGGTTTCAGTGACAGTTGTAAAGGCTTCTTCCTCACAAGGTTTCCTCGCTGGAGAATCTGAATTATGTAGGCCCATACCCTGCTACATCTGAATTTGGGTTTGAATTGTAAAATAATTCATCTTCAGCCACATAAAGACAGGGATGTTGTCGCTGGCTGAGATGGTTGGTTAAGCCGCCATTGCAGGTTGAAGGGAGGAGATCCTTCATAGCTACAGTATGTTGACCTTGCGGAGTAGCGCTGCTTTCATCTTGCTCACTAGGTCCGAGAAGACCCAGTCTGCCAATGTCCAGAGGCAGGTTTCTGCTGCTGCTGGTGGTGGTAGCAGTCTCCAGACCCTGGGGCTTACATTGAATAGGTTGTAGGTTTTCAAGGCGTTCCACCCCCTGCAGGCATTTATTGAATTGCAACAGACTTTCACGCACCAGAGTGAATGAAGTCCTCGCATCCTCTTTTATCCTGTCTGGAGTTGTTGATGTTGAAGCATCACTGTAAGTGTGCAAAGTTCTTCCTCTTGGTTTTCGCACTGAAACATATTGAAGATACAGTGCAGGGTTGATTATGGGGTGCCTCGTTTCCCATTTTATTTTTAAGGAGGCTTCTTTTATTTTTTCTCATTCTGAAGCTGATTTTCTGTGGTGTAGAGGGAGCGGAGAAAAAGCAGCGTTTTTAAAGGGTAGAGACGACTCTTGGGTGGGTCTGATGAGGGAGAAGGTCCTGCCAGAGGCAAGGTGGACTGTTTGAATGGAAGGGATGGTCAGGAGTCATAAAAGGTTAAGTATTACCGTGAGTGAGGACAGTCGGGTTTAGATGGTCAGGAGTTGTCAGAACTGCTATGATAAGATAAGATTTACTAAATTACATCATGCAACAGGTTGGGTGGATCAAAACAGTCATTTGATGTTTCAGAGTTAATAATTTACATCCTGTAGCAACTGTACATTCCTCTGATTTATAAAAGAGATTTAATTACATTCTGTGGGAGGAAGGTGGGTCAAAGGGGTTCTATAAGAGGTCATAGCCTGCAGTTGGAAGTTACGGAGGTCAGAGGTCAAAAGCCAAGTGTATAAATGAAGTGCTGTGCTCTTGGTCTTTGGTCCAAAAGGCTGTTTGTATGTTGTGAGCAAAATGTATTCATTAAAGACCCTGATGGAAAAGCCTGGCTTCAACTGTTTTAGAACCACTCAAGAAAACCCCCTAACATCACCTACATTGCAAAAATGAAGTGGGTACTTCTATATTTTCACAGAATCAAAACAGCCTTCTGCTGTTGCAAGCCAAGATGGTGTAACGTGATGAAGGAGCTCTTCCTCCGAGGTTATTTACCTTCTCTCCACAGACGCCTCTGACACAGTGCTAGGCTGCATGAGACTGCCTCAAGGTCATGCATTCGCTTCTAAAACTGTTTTCTTCCCAGCAAGAGAAGAAAGAAGATGAAGAATGAAGAATAAAGCTAATCAAACAAAGTGTCAGTCAATAATATGTGTAAATAACAATGTTATGATTAATATGCTTTAATAAGTAAATGCACTAGACACACTGATACACGTAATGTAAACGCAGGACACACTGCTGTTACTGATCCAATCAGAACCTTCCTTTCTGAAGCGTGGCAGAGTCTCTGTGGTGTTTATAAATCTGCCAGCTTTGATTGGACCAGAAATCAAAACATCCAGATTAATAAAACCAGTTCCAACGCCATCTTAGTTCAGTTCTCAAGATCTCACTGGAGTTCACCGCATGCTAAGCGAAGTAACGGACCGGCCATCCGGACTTCCTTTTTAAGCCGAGAACCACCAAGCTGGATAAAATCTGTTGCATTTAACCAACCAAGCAACGGTTCCTTTCAGAATAAAAGCTGAACTCACTGACCCAAGGAGGGTCCCTGCGAACCACCTGTCGCTTTTTACCTGGAGACGATCCAAAGACTAGTTTGTCGTACTGCTGATGCTGTTCCATCGGCTCCTGTACCAAAGGGGGGTCCGAGGACCTGGCGATCTGGATCTGTACGGAAGTCTCACTCTGAAGGGTATGTGTGGAGCGACAAGAATGGCGTCTCATGTGTTTATGAAACTCCGGTCAAACTCTGATCGTAGCTAGAAGCAAAACATCACAACATCATTCAGACTAGCTTCTCTGGATACGAGAGCTCTGATAATAACACCACTCACACACACACACACACACACACACACACACACTATTCATCTCACCACTCATTCACATCAGATCCATCCATCATTAGAGTTAGAGTTAGTCTTGTTTAAAATTGCTTAAATTGTTTAGAAATAAATCATCTTAAATGTTTTAAAGGTCTGATTCTTCTCTTGTCTCTCAGTTAATACAAAGTGTTACACAATCCCTACAATAAAAAGTTCCAATCTTCTGGTTAAATAACTCAGCGGTCCGTAAGATTGATTTCATATCCACTATGGAAACTAAATGACCCTCGGGTCCTTAATTAGATGTAAATTAACTTCTTTTACAATGGATTAGTCCAAGACTGCTAATTTTAGAGCATTTCCCCATCTATTGTCTTTCAGAGGCTAATGCAGCAAATGGGGATAAAAGACAGATATTTCACGTTAGGCATGCACGTAAAACTCATTGTGACCAATCACATTTCAAAAAGAACAAGCAATATATGTTTCTCAGTGAACCTCACCTTTAGAGGCACACCTAATTACTATAATTACTATAATTACTACAAGATAATCTTATCAGAACAACATTTTAGAACTGAAAAGCCATTATCATACCATTGCCTTTGTGGGTACCTGATGATCTTGGTTGAACGCTTTAGGTTGCATGATTTGAATCTTTTCTCACTTAATTTTAGTAACTTTGATCAGTTTCTCACGGACGCTATCTGCTGTGCTTGGTGTTGTATGCTACGCTTAGCGCCTTAGGAGCCTGTTGGTCACTGAAGACGTTACACAAAAAAAGATCTGTAGCATGTTAAGAGTCAGTGCCAATGAGGACAAACAGGTGTGCTGCCTGTCACATGGAGCGTCTAGCCAATCAGAAAGCAAGGCGATGGAAGCGCACTGCACACTCCTCCTTTGCCATGTTTGTTTACTCTGGCCTCAAGAGGTTTTTCAAAATGTCCGATCTGACCGGGGAATCAGAGAACCCTGAGACTTTAAACACAAAAACATTTTACTGCAGGAGCAGCCGAACTTCACTGATCACGTTTAAACAATCCCTTGGCTTCAATAAACAGACAAATATGATGTTTGGTCTGGGCAACGCTTCCAAAAAATAACACTTTATTGTGAATATATTTTGGGGGGACAAAACTGGCATCTTGTTTAAAACAGCAGCTCACATGAGATATTTGCTTTCACACAGTTTCACTTCGTCAGATTTGGCTCCTCGATGGGTAATGGTTGCTAACAAATGAGTCAAACTGTTACCTGACCAGTCTTTCTTGTTTGTGTCTTTAAACTAAGCAAATGAACGGAAATCTACTTATTCAGAGTACGTGTGAAACACAGTAAAACACATCGAACTCATTAGGAAATGTTAATGGCTGAATGCAGCAGTGGTAATGTTATCTTTTATGCCAGACAGCCCGTGGGCCTTGAGGCCTGTCATCAGTTGTAGAAGCTACTTGTCTTCCGAATCATCCAAATCATTAGTGTTGACAACGTTCCTTCTCTTTTGCACTACTGCACAGGTGTGTCCCATGTCCGTTTCTCTTTGAGTCTATTCCTCCTCTGGTCTTGATGGAGCCTGTTGAAGATCACCACGTCCAGAACTATGAGAAGCCCTGGAGCATTGGCATGGGCCAGATGGAGTCTAGAGAGTTTCACTGAGCTCTGGTGAGTCATGGGTTTTTATAACTGGAAGATTTCTTTCCACTGACCATATAGAGAGGTGGAATTCTGCTCATACAAGTCGATGGGTCACAAAGGCCTGGTGGTCCTGATGGTCCTCTTGGACCAGTAGGCCCTGGGATACCTGGACTTCCTGTCATACCACGCTCTCCATTTTTGCCGTCTTTTCCAATCCCAGGGGCACCAGGTGCACCTGAGGTGAACACAAACCATGCAAGTTAGATTACTTCCAAAATATTTTAAAATTTATAAAATAATCAAACAAAAACTAAGTTTTTTTATGTAATAAATCTGAATTACAAATTGTAGCTCTGTTATTCATCCACACACTGCATGATGAAGATGCTGCCCACTGGAAGCAGAGTCTTCATGACTTTTATGAAGTGGATTTCTAGGTGCAACCAAGCTGTTGAGGGGATCAGTGTTGGTGGCCTTTGAAATGGGTTTGTGCTTTTTGCAGATGATGTGGTCCTGTTGGCTTCGTCAGAATGTGATCTCCAGCTTTCTCTGGAGCGGTTTGCAGCTGAGTGTGAAGTGGCTGGGGGGAAAATCAGCACTTACTAATCTGAGACCAAAGTTTTGAGCTGGGGAAGGAAAAGAATGTCATCGCCAGGTAAGGGACAAGGTCCTGCCCCAAGTGGGAGAGTTGGTATTACGGGGTCTTGTTTACGAGTGAGAGAAAACTAAGCGAGATGCTGACTAATGGATTAGTGCTGTGGTGAAGAGTGTGCTGAAATGTGAAAGGAGAAGCTTTCGATTTATCTGTCGATCTACGTTTCAACCCTCATCTATGGTCATGAGCTTTGGGTAGGTACCGTGAAAACAAGATTGCGGATACAAGCAGCTGAAATGAGTTTTCTCCACAGCATATCTGTATTTTCTAATAAATGGATGGATGTATGTATGGATGGACCGACTGATTGATTATTTGGGAATTATTGTTTTTGTCGAGGTAATGGTGGGAGTAGGTGTAAAGGCTAGACCATCCAATTTGACAGCCGCTCACTTCCTTTCTTCAAGGTCAATAAAGGACCTGGCAGACGTAAACCTGGTAACCTGGTTAACATTTGAAGGATTTAGCCCCTGACTTTGGACAAAGTCCACAGAAATGTGGAAGTTGAAGGCAAACCAAAACAGGTGGCCGCTGGTGGCTGGACCCAGTAAAGGCTTTAAGACCCTCTTCTCACTAAATAATAACCTCCTCGGGTAATTTTATTTCCAGGTGTTGACTTCTTAGTCCCTACACCCCCAGCAGGTCCCTGAGGTCCAGTGATCAAAGCCTACTGGTTGTGCAGCACCAGGCTAAAGGTCAAAGGTGACAGATCATCTGCTGCTGTGGCCCCCAGACTCTGGACCTCTCTCCCCCTGAGCCTGAGATCAGTGGACTCAGTGGTCTCCTTCAAAAAGCAGCTGAAGACTCACTTGTTCAAGCTGGCTTTTGTATGACCTTCTTCACCTCTCTCTCCTTATTCTGCTCTTTTTACTTTTCCCGCCTATCCCCGTGATCCACTGATTTCCCTCTTTCCTATTCATTTTCTCTCTCCCTTTCCTTATATTATTTTTTAATCACAAATTTCTCCGTCATTTAAAACATATTCTTAATCATTTTTTAAAATCTTTTATTTACTTAATTATATTTGTTTGTGAAGCGTCATGTGATTTTCATCTTGAGAGGCGCTATATAAAATATTCACTTACTTACTAACTAACTAACTAACTAACTAACTAACTAACTAACTAACTAACAACTAACTAACTAACTAACTAACTAACTAACTAACTAACTAACCAACTACCGTAAATCCTCTAATACAGGCCGGTATTCAATTAAAGGCCGGGTCTCATATTTTGGCCGGTGTCGGAGTCGGCGGAGGTGAATAATGGCCGGTCTCTTATTGTGGCCGGGTGGAATGTGGTAACAAGGAAGTACGGGGGGCGGTTGTGTCATCGTCTCACGTTTGATTTGCCAGTGATAGACCGCGAGGGTAACTTTAACCGTCCGGAGACGAAGAGGAGGCGAAGATTTGATATCAAGTTCAAAGAGAACGTGCAGATTATGCTGCAGAACACTCTGGGGAGCTGTAGCAGGGGTTGTATGAACTAGTCGACTTCTCTATAGTGACTTGTTATGCCTGTCATCGACTAGTCGCTGTCACGTGATAATGACCGGCAAGATGCAGCCCTCGGAAAAGACAGCAGCCTGCTGTCAGCAGGTGACAAGCTCCTGCGCTCGGGGGGGGAACGCGCTGTGCCAGAGCGTCGGTACTGACACGCGATCGTTCATGTCGGCTCATTTCCTTTAATGTTTTCTGTCTTTTATTTGCGCCTGATGCGTTTCGCTGTGGAGCGGGGCGCATCAGCTTGTCCTCCGACGCACCGATCACTGATGCGGCCGCCAAGCAGCGAGCACTCCGCTGTTTTAGCGGTCGGTAGATCTTTTAGAACTGCAGTTCAAAGGTAACTCATGAGGTGAATATATATGAACCCAGGTAGCAGTTTCTCTTTAGGACTGAGAGGAGATGCAGGAAGATAATAAACAGGCAGGACAGAAAAATAGTCAAATAAAAACAAGTTAGTTTTTGTACCTGCTGGTTGCAACAAACAGACACCATTGAAGGTAATCAGAAGTGAGGAACAGAAAATGAAATAATTATTTTAATGTTTAGAGCAGCAGGAACTCTGAGAGGCTGCAGGTGCATCAGTGAGTTTGTGGCTGCTGCGCAGGGGGAGGGGGGAGAGGGCTGAAGCAGGGGGAGGGGGGAGAGGGCTGAAGCAGGGGGAGGGGGGAGAGGGCTGAAGCAGGGGGAGGGGGGGAGGGCTGAAGCAGGGGGAGGGGGGAGAGGGCTGAAGCAGGGGGAGGGGGGGAGGGCTGAAGCAGGGGGAGGGGGGAGAGGGCTGAAGCAGGAACTACCGTTGTTAAAAGAAATGTGTTTAACTTTGAAAATGTGGGCGCAATTTTAATTGTCAGAAACTCCAGCGAACCATTAGTTCATTTTGCTCAAATAGAAATAGAGGCCTGCCTCTAATACTGGCCCTCCTTCCAATAAAGGCCTGGAGCTTGATGAGCTTGAGTCAAATACAGGCCCGGGCCTGTATTAGAGGATTTACGGTAACTAACTAACTAACTAACTAACTAACTAACTAACTAACTAACTAACTAACTAACTAACTAACTAACTAACTAACTAACTAACTAACTAACTAAACAGCTATAAATCTGAGAGAGATCCACCCAAAAGGCACCCGTCCGTGCCACAAAACCAGTACCGTATTTTCCGGACTATAAGCCGCCACTTTTCCCCCACGCTTTGAACCATGCGGTTTATAATGAGGTGCGGCTTTACTGAAGATGTTCCTTCACCTGCAGGGGGCGCTTTAGCAGGAAGTCAAACAGGTGGAAGTCAAAAGTGGAAATGTAAGAAAGTGCTCATTTTAATTTAGCACATGCAAGCAGCCGGCACCACGAAGAAGTATTTTCAAATCCACACCCCCTCATCATGGTAACTACATGTATGAGTTCATATGATGCTGCATTTAAGTTGAAAACCATCGATCTGGCAGTAAAGGAGGGAAACAGTGCTGCTGCACGTAAGCTTGGCATGAATGAATCCACGGTTCGGCGCTGGAGACGGCAGCGGGAAGAACTCATTCAAGCCAGCTTCACCCGGGGATGATGACAGCAACACGGACAGCGACACAGAAAAGGTATGTGACGAAGCTCTTCTGAGGCTGTTCAGCTCCGACGCTGAAGAAGAGGACTTTAATGGCTTTAGGGCACAAGAGGAAGATGAGAGCGAATGACTTCTTCTGGTAGGCAAGTGTGTTTTATTTACTAACCAGGCATGTTTTGTGTGTAGTTTTTATTTTCTAATCATCCAGGGCTTATTAATGCTGTGTCAGCGCTGTTCTTTTCTCCTAAACATGCAAATGACCGGTAATAACGTGTTATTACCGGTAATAACGTGTCAGTGCTGTTTTTATTTTATAACCATCCAGAAACATGAATGCTATCAGCGCTGTTTTCTTTTCTACACTTGCAGACACGTTCACCCGTGTTTAAAATTTGTTTTGATGAATTAAAACAACAAAAACCTCCGTGTAGCGTATTTCTGTCTAATTATCTTATGCTATGGCCGTACATGCGCTGTGCGCCGGAGACCTGCGTGTGGCTGCTGCGCCGCGGCTTGTATTTGAGTGTGGCGTGTGTGTGTGTGTGTGTGTGTGTGTAGAAAACCTTTTTTTTGTTGGTGCAGCTTTTATTGAGGTGCGCTCTATAGTCCGTAAATTACGGTAATTGCCATATCTGGTTAGCAGAGGGCTGCCCAGTATGAAGTTGGTAAGGTTTCTACCTCAGGGATCACTAAAACCAGTTTGAAAGCAATAGCTTCAAGTGTTAAATAAACACTTTAGTGTTACTTTAAAGCATGCTGCTACATTAATATTTTAAATTAGTAAAAAATGTGATACATTTATTTGTTTTAATTATGAAAGGAATCCCTTTCTTACCTGGTACACCTGGTTCACCTGGGCTTCCTTTGATTCCTATACCATCCTCCCCCTTGTCTCCCTTTACCCCAGCGTCACCTGCATAGCGAGAGGAAACACACTGGGATGAAGGAGAAAGCTGTTTTAAACATTATTAATGGTGCATACTGGGCAGACCTAATGACTCCACACTGGTTCAGCCTTGTTGAGTGAAATATTGATTGTCTGCATGAGAATCCAGTTCATCGTCAAAGTGCATTGGGAAGCCTCTTTCAGTGATTGCTTTGGCCGTGTGAACGAAAAGCTGTACAGTCATAAGTCTCGTGTTCTCTAGTGTTTTTAGCTCTTTGTGTGACTCTGAAGTAGCTCTGAAACATTCCAGTGCTCAGCTGTCTCCGTAAAACATACGGAGTGATGAAGACCATTTCAGAGTGGTTAAGGGTCATTTAACCAAAATGTTGTTAATTCAAAGGATTTTCATTAGAAATGTTGTGGAGATTTGCTTTGATACTCTGACCTTTTTGGCCTGGTGCACCTGGAAGTCCAAAGAAGCCAGGATGGCCTTTGGGACCAATTGGCCCTGGAGCGCCTGCTGCTCCTGCAGCTCCAGCTGGCCCAGGGAGTCCAGGAGGCCCTGCAGGTCCAGCGGTACCAGGAGCCCCAATAGCTGCTGGCCTCTTCAAGAACTCTTTCATAAATGTTTCTAATTGTTCTTCAGGAACAAAGAACAAAATAACACGGACAAGCATTTAGCATGAGTTACCCATCCGACAATGCCATTTCCTAGGAAAATGTCGGTGACGACATACTGTAGATGCATCAAAGTCAGAAATACCTTCAACAACTGCCGAGCACATTTCTCGCAGCTTTTCATCGCTCACCTTTGGGCCCTGGGAAATGAAAATTGTTCCAGTGACTTATACAAACAATAGAATGATGTAAATCTTGTTTAGGCAGAAAACAATAATTACAATCTCTGTCTTTTAATCCATCTGAACAAGTGAAGAACCTGGGTGTGATTTTTGACTCTGAGCTGACTTTTATCCCACACATTAAAAACATCACAAAAATGGGTTTTTATCATCTAAAGAACATCGCCAGAGTCCACCCCATTCTCTCTCGGGCCAATACGGAGACGCTGATGCTTTTATCATCAATAGGATAGATTACTGCAATGCCCTGCTTTCTGCTCTTCCCAAAAAGAGCATCTCAGGCTTACAACTTCTACAAAATTCGGCAGCACGTGTCCTGATGAAGACCAGGAGGCGGGAGCACATGACACCAGTTTTGAAATCATTGCATTGGCTCCCCGTATGTTTCAGGGTCCATTTTAAGGTTCTTCTAATGGTTTTTAAGTGTCTTAACGGTCTTGGGCCTTCTTATCTCTCAGAACTGTTTTAACCATATGAACCCTCACGGACTCTGCGCTCCTCTGGCAGGCGTCTCCTGGTCATCCCTAAAGTCAGGACACAAACTCACAGCGAGGCGTCCTTCCAGTGTTACGGCCCTCGCCTCTGGAACGAGCTGCCAGAGGACCTCAGGGCCTCAGAGAACGTTCATGTTTTTAAGTCAAGACTCAAGACCCGTCTTTTTAGGTTAGCTTTTATCTGAATATTTACTACAGTTTTATTTCTCGTTTTACATGATTATATTTTATTACTTGCTTTGCATGTTTTATATAATTATATTTTAGCACAGTTTTATTATTTAAATTATTATTTTACTGTCTATATCATTTTATTTACTTATATTCTAACTTTTGTCCCTTATATTAGCTCCTTTATTATATTTTTACTCATTTTAATCCAGTGTTTCCACTGTGGGGGCCCTCTGCCCAGGGAGCGGTGGTCGAATGTAGCTTCCTGGGCGCTCTATAGGTGGGGGTCTATGCTCCCCCTCCACTGAGCGCCCTGACTTAGTGTGGAAGACCTGATGCTGCCGGGGCAGACGGCTCCTCTGATGGCGTTTCCTTGCGTTAACATACTTGGCTCATCTGGACTCAGCCTAATATAATTTCTACTTGTGTGTGTGTGTGTGTGTGTGTGTGTGTGTGTGTGTGTGCGTGTGTGCGCATGTGTGTGCGCATGTGTGTGTGTGTGTGTGTGTGTGTGTGTGTGTGTGTGTGTGTGTGTGCGTGTGTGTGCGTGTGTGCGCATGTGTGTGCGCATGTGTGTGTGTGTGTGTGTGTGTGTGTGTGTGCGTGTGTGTGTGTGGGTGTGGGTGCGTGTGTGTGTGTGTGCGTGTGTGTGCGTGTGTGTGTGTGGGTGTGGGTGCGTGTGCGTGTGTGTGTGCGTGTGTGTGTGTGCGTGTGTGTGTGTGTGCGCATGTGTGTGTGTGTGTGTGTGCGTGTGTGTGTGTGGGTGTGGGTGCGTGTGCGTGTGTGTGTGTGTGTGTGTGTGTGTGTGTGTGTGTGTGTGTGTGTGCGTGTGTGTGTGTGCGTGTGTGTGTGTGGGTGTGGGTGCGTGTGTGTGTGTGGGTGCGTGTGTGTGTGTGTGTGTGTGTGTGTGCGTGTGTGTGTGCGTGTGTGTGTGTGCTTGTATATGTCTGTTAATGTTTTTAACCTGTTGTGGTAATCTGGGGTCATTTTGTAAAGCACCTTGTTTGAAAAGCGCTTTATAAATAAATCGATTGATTGATGATTGATTGATTGATTGATTGATAAAAAATAACAAGTAACTTAAGCTCTAGGTGAAACAATTATGGATGAAGAAAGAGGCTAGTTATGTTTAAAATGCCGATTCAAGAGCAGCCATTGAAGGTTATTTTATACACGCTTATTGTGACTCACGGGTAGACCTCTAGGACCTGGTGCCCCGGGAAGTCCTGGCTCTCCCTCCAGTCCTCTAGCTCCCATGGGACCAGTCACACCCTCATGTCCTGGTTGACCTGGTCTGCCATCGATTCCTATAGCTCCTCTTGGGCCTTTTTCTCCACGCTAGTGGGGAGAACATCAACCAGACACAGGACAGGATTTTTTAAATTGGTCTTTGGATGACATGCTCGGATGCATTCTTTAACCTTTTTATTCTCCATCTGTTTTTCACATTAATTCATATTATGTTCGGTTCATTTACATTATTATGAGCGATTACACTATGAAGACAGTAAATTCCTGATACCTCTCCTTTGATCCCAGGAACACCAGGAGGGCCCTGAAACACACATTTAAACAAGTAGAGATCTTAAGGAGCACAAACAGATATCACTCTGCCGTTACAAGCGGTAAGAGTCCGTTAAGTTTGATTACCTGATCTCCTTTGACCCCAGGGTCTCCCGTCAGTCCCGTGTCTCCCTGTATGACATAATGAGTGAAACTTGTAAAGGCATAAAATATCCTAAATAAACAAACATGGGAAACAAAAGTCTTACTTGACTCCCTTTTGGTCCTACCGGTCCAACAGGCCCCTGGATGGTACATGAAATAAAGAGTGGCTCAGTGAAATAATGAACTAAACCTGTTAATTAGACATTAACTAACAAACTGGTCCTACCTGATCCCCTTTGTGCCCAGTATGGCCCTTCATTCCTTTAGCGCCAACGCTACCTTTATCTCCTTTTTCACCCTTTTGAAACAAAAGACTCATATTAAATATACTGGGCACAATATTTCTGAGATGATAACTTGATGATGTCTAAAAGGCCAGGTTAGGGAAGGAGGAGGAAATAAAGCTGCAAGTCACATCTCACCTGGATCCCTGTAGGGCCTTGTGGCCCCACTGGCCCTTGTTTTCCTGTGTCACCCTGTGTATTAAAATTATGTTAAATTCACTCTACAAATCAATTTAGACTTGTGTCCACGTGTGATGTGTGTGACAATGGGACTAAACAGGAAAAACCGTTGATTTAACAGATGGAAGTTAAAATGAAACCCACGGGAACTCCTTTTTCTCCTGGTTTACCATCCGCTCCATCTTTTCCAGATTGTCCCTTTGTGAACACAAAGAAGGTGATTAAAAATGAAACTATGGCATCTACAAAGACAATTAGAGTCAGTGGTGCAACTCACAGTTTTTCCTGGAGGTCCAACTGGCCCAGTAGGTCCCTCAGCTCCAGTTTCACCCTAAATGTTCAACAGGAACACCCATAACTTAGTCATTTATACTGATACTTTACATCTGCTCAAACATCAAAGCAGGAATTTGGATAATATCATAGAGGTCAATCCAATCACCTTTTCACCAGTTGGTCCAGCTACTCCTTGCTTTCCTGGCAGCCCCTAAAACAACAAGTCATATACGAGAACCTTAAAACTAATGACATTCCTTTTTATCCCCGATTAAGAAGCAAGATAACTAATATACCATAAGGAGTAACGGAGTTGGAGTAATTATTGAATTAACCAGGTGTTTCATCAGTAAAATTTCAAAACAAGCCTCTAAAGTCTACCTTTCTATCTTCTACTGCTATTTTGAGCATTAAAACTACAAAGGTCATCTGTACTCACCCTACAGCTCAAGTAAGCACATGCCTAGTTCACACATCATTGGAGTAGTTCAGATTTTGATGGTTAAAGCAACACTTAACACTTTAAGCTACTGCGTTCAAACTGGTTTAAGTCATTCTTGAGCCATAAAATTGAGCAGCATCACATTGGATAGCACTCTGTAGCCCCCTGCTGACCAGAAACTGCACCTCACAGTTTTGTGGTTTGGGTAGGAACATTAGTGGGAGGTCTCTACCTGCTTTACAGCAACATCTGTTTACTGTGCCGATAGCTCATTTAGGGCTAGCAGTCAGCTTTTTTCAGTTCACAAGCATTAATAAAAAGCAAATAAGAAGACAAAAAAGAAGAATTTGGCTTTATTGTTGGCATCATGGTGGAGCCTGGAAGTAAAACTAAGAGAGAAATGTCTTTGGAGGCAAAGCAAAGAGCGAAGTGAACATCAGCACGGCCTGCATTTGTGTGAGGGAGATAAAAGTGGCTATGAAATCATGGACTGATGGTGACCTGGCTTTGTTGCTACAGGACTTGTACATAATAATATATTTTGTCCAACAGAGTGGATTTTTTTTACTTCAGTGCTTATATTAGGATCAGTTGGATTGTGTTAGCTCGTTGTTAGTGCTAGCTACAGCGGGCTGCGGAAGGGTTGTTTACGACAGTTGTAATCCCGTTTTTAACCAGTAGGAGGGAGGAGTGTGAAACTTCTTTAGTTTTGGTAATAAGTTGTCTGTCTGGTTTAGAGCAGATTTTCTGTATCATCAAAGATAAACTGCAAGTTTATCTTTATTTACGATAAAATTGAATCTGATGAAATCTATTTTGTAATAAAGCTATAAATGAAGAGCACAAAAGTCAAAGGAAGTAAAGTCAGACTTACTGGAATACCAACAACCCCCCTGATTCCAACTGCTCCTGGCGTTCCAGCTTCCCCCTGTTGAGTTCAAAGACAAGACGCCAGACAGTTAGCTTGTTGGTTTGGACAGATGGAACGAGAGACGTCACATAGCAAAATAAAATAATGTTTTATAAACGTCCACTAATTACCAGAAGCTGTAATGTGTTAAAGGTGTAATGAAAAGTTTAGCAGATTCTCATCAAATTTGGACAAGAAATAATTTGCCTCTCATTATTTCCCCCTATAGTGTAGAGATCGTGGAGTGTATTTTCTAATTCCTTTATTAACAGTACTTGGTGCATTGTTAAGTATTAATAAGCAATTAAATAAAGTTTTAATGACTGCTTAATATTAATGTTATTTTAAGTAGTAAGTAGACTAACTACTGAAACTAATGAAAGCACATTTAAAATTTGTATCAACAAAGTATTTCTTTCAAGGTCAAAATTATTACACAAGCTTCTATTTTGAGATCATACATTAAAGGTGCATTATGGAAGTCTGACAGCCAAAACATGTATAGAAATAATAAACGTCTTCTTCGTACGTTCTCCTGCAATGCCCTGGTCCTGTAGCATGAGCCCTGGCATTTTTACTGTCATTGCCTGTTTTTCTGTAAAATCACAGAAAAAGAGAGATGCTCGGGTCGAGCAGGCTGCTTCATGCGCGTTCACGCTCAGGCATCGCCCGTAGCATTTGCTATCCGTAGCTTTAGCAGCAGAGAGAGAGGCAGTGCCACTTTGTCGCTGTTCCTAACGCCTAGTGACAAAGCTAGCTACATTTCTGAGGACCCTTAGCTACTTTCTGTAGAACTTTCTTCTAGATATTTCCTGCTAATTAGCAACAAAACAGCCATTTTCACTCCGAACCGTTCTTTGGTTTGACGTTGTTTCAGCTGTCATCAAGGATATAAATGCTACAGATACAAAAGATACCACTGGTGCTTTAGCTCACCTATTAAGACATCTGACACTCATGCAGAAGACCTGGGTTCCATTCCGGATGTGAACATACATTTTTTAGAGTTTCTTTTTTACATTAATGATATTTTTTTTACAGTAAGATGCCCACATTTTTTATTTGAGACTCGCTGAATGGCGTTGAATTCACAGATAAAAAAGATGTGGGTTCATCTTTCATTTTGGAACAATTTTTCAAGCAAGGGAAGGGAATGATCTGAGCATGCAGGAGGACTGACCCATCATAAACCTTTGTCGGCTGTGCTGAAGAGAAAGCTACAGAACCACATTATTTAATTAATCAGCTGCACATTCTCCTGCCCTCTGTCCTCCAGGCCACACACACACACACACACACACACACACACACACACACACACACACACACACACACACACACGGGACTGTCTCAGCTGTTATTTTCGCTAAGGAGTGTGCACGTACAGCATGTGCGCCTAGTGCACGAGCCTACTATTGAAGCTGCTGTTATGCTTTTGGCCTGAGGGGGCGATCATGAGCATAAAAATTCAAAACTCCGTGAAGTCCCTTTAAGTCAGACATGCCTTCCCAGTCATGAACATCACCACACTTAAAGATAATGGAAAGTACTCCTCGCCGACATAAATGTCCAGATCTAAAAAAATCATGATGCACAAATAGCTGGAAATAGTAAGAATGCTATATTTCAATTCAATTCAATTTCAATTCAAAAATACTTTAGTAATCCCAGAGGGAAATTGATTGCTGCAGTAGCTCAGAATAATAATTGTATATTACAATTGTTTCTATGGCCTTGGCTAGTAGATTATATTAGATGTGTCGGACATGGCTTTGGACAAAAAAGAAAATAAGAAAATCAACAATTGGATTTCATACATCACCTTTGCACCATGAGCTCCGGGAAGCCCATCCACACCATTTTTCCCAGCTGCTCCCTACAAAGCCCCAACATATTTCAACAGAATTGTTAATCAAGATATAATAAGACTGTAGAAATGTTCCCTTGAATATCAGCATTCTTACATGCTCCCCTTTCTCCCCTGGACTACCAGGCTGTCCTTGTGGTCCCACAGCTCCCTAATAAACACCCAAACATGTTTTTTGTTATTAGCATAATTTCCTTGTTAATTATAATATGACATTTTGCAACATGATAACAAATTCTTCTTACGTCATCTCCCTTGGGCCCTGGCAAACCCTGTCGTCCACGAATTCCCTCCACACCCTGACCCAAAGACATCCATTAGTTACATCCTGTCTTTTCAGAGATGAAAGAAAAGGTCACAAAAGGACAGAAGAAGAAGCGGGACTGCTTACAGGAGCTCCAGGTGGGCCGGTGGGTCCAGGAACCCCATTGTAACCAGGAGGACCCTTCAAACGGAGAGGGAGTCAGATTTTATCCACTAATTCAAGTAACTATTGTGGCTTTATGACTTACTCTGTCCCCCTTTTCTCCAGCAGTTCCAGGTAATCCAATTGGTCCTCGTTGTCCCTAAAATATCAATAGTTGTTTAAAAGTATTTTCTACCTTAATTGCTTTTCATTTTTAAGATACATGACAATAATATTTTGTGAATAATGAAGTGTCTGTACATCATCTCCCATGTGGCCTGGTGGCCCCTGAGGACCTGCTTCTCCAGCTTCCCCCTGTTCAAACAACAAAACCAACAGATCTGAATCCTAAGAGCAGACCTAATAAAGTTTAACTGTTTAGGTGTAGACTAGAACTACAGTCAAAACTTTCCCCATTCTTGTTTTCATGTTAAACAACATGGAACCAAAGTATGTTGCTTACCTTTTCTCCGGGATCTCCATCTTTTCCAGGCTCGCCTGGAAGTCCTTTGTGTCCCTGAAATAATTGTCAGTTTCATTTTATAGTTTTATTTACATGTTGATTTCCTGGAATTAAAGGTGGAATATGGAACATTTTAATAAAAAGCTATAAAAAATACCTCCACAGGGCGTTTAGAGATGTGTATAATCAATGTACAGTTTTTCCTTTACAAGAGATATTTAAAAAAAAATACTCAAATTTTAATTTTGTGGGCACAACACTGGGTTTATGTTTACATCTACCCACCACTAGAGAGAACCGTTGCGCTAAAAAGTCAGCTCGGCAAGGCGAGGCTGGGACTGTGTAAAATGGCAGACTCGACAAGTCAAGCAGCTGATTCTGAGCCCAGAAGATGTTCTAACAGTAAATACCGTTGTAAAATACACATATTAGTAGAGATTAGTCCTTACCCTGTATGATTTGTATCTGGATATGGTGCTGGCTAGTTACTTAACCTGTCAGCAGTTAACCAACACCCCAGTGGCTGGAAAATGGTTTCTGTTGTTGTAGCTACCACCTCTAAACACTGGATGTCGCCAGAGTGTTCGTGTTCCATATTCAACCTTTAAATCTCAACATAACTATCACTGACTCAGTTTGCTTTGCAATGTTGATGTTTTATCTCCACTGATAACACAAGCTTGAAAGAGTTCTGTCACGTGGTGAAGTTGCTAATGCTAACATTAGCTTCTACTAGCCAAGACATGCTCTGGTCTCTCCAAGATGCTAAACCACCAACAGCCTTCCCTGTCATGAGTCAAATGGGTCCATGAAGGCTGATTTTCAATGTGACGTATCTCTGACTGGCTTTTCTAATCCTAGCGTTTCCCAGTCTAGTCTCTTCCATCTGAGGCTAATGCAGGAAATAGGTGTAGAAGAACATTTTCAAATTCAGCCTACTCTGTTTATTTCCTACAGAAATCAGACTGTCCCAACCCTTGTGTGACTGCCTGTGTGATATTTTATGTATTTTATTTTAATAATTTTTTTTCAAAATTGCGAGTCAAAACTGATGCTTTAAATCCTATCTACAACATTTTGTGTGTGTTTTTTAATTAATTTAAGGCAGAATCAAACACAGCTTTACTTACAAGTCATTGATGCAGTCTCATGTCTCAAATTAACTTTCCTTCCTTAATTCCTCACCTTAATCCCGGGAAGCCCAGCCAATCCTCGAGGTCCAGCAGGACAGGCAGCAGGACACTGCAAATGGGAATTTAGTCAGAGATATAAAACAAGCATGGATGCTGCACAGCTTCTATATCTGAGTCTCTTTCTGATCACTGATATGCTGCCAGTACTCTATTTGCATCTATGCATCCAGTAAAGTCTTGGCAGTGTGTTGGAGGGTAAAAAAATACTCACAGCTTCCCCACTTCCCTCACTGATGGCACCAGGTGGTCCCTAAAAAGGAGCAGAGTTACATCTAAAATGACCAGAAGTAGATTCGCATGTCCTCATGAGAATCTCTCAGTAATAGATCCCATTGTGAACTTATACTAGAAAATGCTGTATGCAAAATTATCACACACTAGAATATCTGAGCTCAGGGAAAACTGCTCTTCAGAGAAGATAAATTAGGGTTAATGGAGTTTTCTTTAAAAAAAGTGGAACGTTGATTAAAAATTACGAGGCGTGTAATGGTAGGTATGATGCAGTAAGTAATACCCTCTACCAATCAGCACATGTTAGAAATGAGGGGCACGTTTTTTTAAGTCCCTTCTATTTGACGATTTTCTTTTACCCAAATACAGCATTAATTCAAAACACAGCTATTTAAGTTCAAAAGGAAGTTCAAAATATCCACCAAATACACGTCAATAACTGAAATGTACCAAGAAAGATTTGGTTCTTACCACTGGCCCTGGTGGACCAGGAGGGCCAGGAGGCCCTGGAACACCGGATCCTCCTCTAGGACCAGGTGGACCCTTGATGTTCCAAAGTTAAAAGCAAAAGCAAAAGCCAATCAAAACAATATATATAAACATACACACACACACACACAAACACACACACACATACATATATATATATATATATATATATATATATATATATATATATATATATATATATATATATATATATATATATAAACAACTTCTCAGTCATTTTGACTCATGTCTACTGATGTCATGTTCTGTGTCCTCTTGGTCCCCAGCCCCCTCCTGTTCTTCCTCAGGTTCTCCTCCTGTGTCTTCTTATGTTCCCCAGCTCCCTCTGGGCTTCCCTCATGTTTTCCTCCTAGTCACTCCCCTGTAATTCCCATTTGTTTGCATTCGGCCCTGTCCACACGTAGCCGGGGATCTGCCAAACGTAGATATTTTCCTACGTTTTGGCCTGTCGTCCACACGAAAACGAAGTTTTTTCACACGAAAACTGATCTTTTTAAAAACTTAAAACCGGAGTTTTAAGGTCCGCAACGTCACTTTCCGCGACAAAAACATGCTGACATCACGTGTGCGACCTGTGTTTACACTAGCCGACAGCATGGATGCCCTCAGAGCTGCGCTGGCTTTATCAGTTGTCCAAGCGCTTTCTGCTTGTTTGTTTTTGCAAGTGGAATTACTGCTCCTTGTGGAAGACCACAGACGAAGGATGAGGTTAAGAACGGGGGAAGTACTGCCACCTACAGGTCTGGCATGTCCTTGACAACGTATTTATCCGGGTACGTGTGGACAGAGTTTGTTTTTAAACAACGTGGTGTGGATGCAAGTTTTTGGAGGGGCGGATATTCGTTTAAAAAAAACTCGGCTACGTGTGGACTAGGCCTAAGTCTTCCTCACCCCTCTAGTTATTAGTGGTTTATTTCTGCCCTTAGTTCTAGGGTTAGTTATTTAGTGTCTTATAGGTTATGGTTACCTTCCCCTCTGCTTGGTTCTTCCCTTCCTATTTAGTTAATTGATTTCACCAGTCCTCCCTCTAGACCTCACACCTGTCACCTGTTCCCCTGATTGTTTCCCTCCGTGTTAAAAGCCTGTCTTGTCCTTCAGTGTTTGTTGGTTCGATGTCATATGTGTCTATGTTGTTCGTTCCCCTCTCGAGTATTTCAGAGTTTGTGCTACTATGTGAGCTTTGGTTTATTTTTTGAGCATTCAGTTAGCTTTAGAGAACTTAATCTTATTTTTGTGCTTAGGATTTTCCTTAATAAAGGAATTATTTTCTTAAACCTCTCCTGCCTTGAGTCGTTCTGGGGATTTCTGCATCTTGGGTCCAACCTCCTACACACAACTGACTGGTCAGACACAACCGTACCTAATATATAGCATTTAATAAAAAAGACATTCTGACCTCTGGTCCAATGTTCCCTTCATCCCCCGGGGTCCCTGGTTTGCCAGGGGGGCCCTGTCAATCATGAACACAAATGAAGTGAAACCACAGTGGTTTTACTGGAAAACAGTGAGGAAACTAGTGACATACAGGAGCGCCTTCACTTGATGGACCCTGGAAAAGACAAGAAATCAAAACATCAAAATAAATATTTTAATCTGTAAAAATGTGTTGCGTTAGCATTTTTGTGTCCACTTTTGTCCACTTACGGGAGGACCTGAAGGCCCGGGAAAGCCAGGAAGTCCCTACGGCCAAAGAAGGGAAAATAATAAATATTATCGAGCCTTAGATGGAAAAAAATCTGCGATGCTGGCTGAATGGTTCTGAGGTGAATGAATCATAACTCACTCTCTCTCCGACAGGCCCTCTGGGACCCATTGGACCAGATGGACCCTTCAGACAGTAAAC